ACTGATAACTCCTCTGACTGCGCTGCAGGGCAGGGTGTCTGCTTTGGGTCTGTTTTTTATTACAGAGCTGCTCTCCCCGTGTCCAGCCCAGCGTGGCTGAGGAGTCTGGCTGACATTTCAGCATCGTTAACACCCCAGCAGTGCAGTGTGAAACGTGCCTGTAGGCCAGCACTGGGGAAGTGTCCATCTGGAATCTGTCCCTGATGTGGATCTAAATAACATGAGAGCCTATCCCTGGACATTTGGGAAGCTCTGCTGTGGGAAGAGGAGGTTTGTGGGAGTCCTAAGCATTTGAGGCTTCTGGTCTGGTCTAGCTGTCGGTATCCCAAACTCTCTGTCCATGAATTATGCTCTGGCTGGTGGAGGAGATGTAGAGGAGGATACCCTATTGCAAAGGGAGCTTGCTCATCTTTGTCCAGAAGGAGCCTCACTGCTTTGCAAGATGAAACAAAGCTGAAGCTTTCAGCAAGGAGCATATATATATGTATATATAAGCATATATATACACACATATATGTATCCCATGTGTGGTTGGTCTTGACTCATCAATTGATTATGCAGCGGAAGAGACGTGTACCAAAGAGCTGGCCTTTCCAAATCAGACATATATATCTTTGATTATTGTCACCCTCCTCGGGAAGTTAAGAATTGCAGAGCTGGGACTTGAGTCAAATTGTGACATTTTGAGTTACTGGCAAAGAATTTTCTTTCGGCTTCTGTAAATTTTATAATCTGAAGTTCGAGGTTGTCTTCTTTTGCAAACACTGCTTGGATTAGAGGGTTATGTGCCACACCACAAGGCCTATATGGATTCTTACCCATGCCTGAGGTGATGAGGAGTGCAAATTTTTCTCTGCATATTTTAAGGACATATCCTCCAATGTGAATCATGAATGACTGCAGCCTTGCATTTGTACCACATATGCTATTAGTCTCTCCCTTTTGCTCATCTTGGGCAGTGAAACTGGATTACTCATCCCTGATTTTATTAGCTGTTGGTTTCTCATTTTTTGTGTTGTACTACAGCCCTACAAGCTTTGGAAAGCACTTATTCCAGGGAATGATATATCTTATATAACTTATAAGCTGAATATGAACTTCCTGAGATCATCAGGCCTTTGCTAAATGGAATTTGCACAGCCATAGGCACCAGAAGGTCATTACAATTTTATGATTTTCAAATACTTCTGAGGTTGTGTGTTTATTCAGTCATGGGTCTTTTTGCATTTAAAAGCATCAGAAAAAATTTCTGCTTCTGGTGGTGTGATGCAGAGACATCATGAGAAGCAATGAGACTTAGGGTTGTAATCTGGTTCCCACCGAACCAGAAAAATCAATTTCCTGGAACAAGAGGGTATCTTTGGAGAAGAAAAGGAATTGCAAAAGGTTACAAAGTCGGTTTTATTTCCTCATACTGTGCTTAGCCAGGCATTATTAGTAAATAAGATCTAGAGCACTTAAAAGAAGGATCCAATCACAAATTCAATTGGTCCATTAGCTACATGTAATATTATTTACCTAAGTGGCCCTTCTGGACCATTTCATAACTCAGGTTTATAACCTTTTCTTAAAAAGATCAACAGTACTGAGCATGCAGTGTGTGAACATGATGAAAGAGGCCATTTTCACAGTTATGGGCCATGATTTCCAGACCTGGAGTCCAGATTAGAATTGTAAAATGAGGAAAATACTGTGTCTGAAATACAAAAAGGGAGAAATAGCCACAGAAAGAAGGAAGGAAGGAAGCACTTAAGCAAGATGTGTTGCAAAGGATCAGTTCTTTTATTGAGCTGGTACAACTAGAAAGTGCAGGTGGGTTTTACGGCACATAAACCCTTCTGCAGATCCGACAGAGAAGATGTAGTGACATTTAAAGCCACACAAAGAGTTTTGCCAACATGTGTCAGAGTGAATCTCCAGTGGGAGGGAGCAACCAGCCGCTCTGTGCAGCTTGGCAGATGGGGGGGTTGTTGTCTGCTCTAATGTGTGATGTGAGTTGGCTGCTCGTACAGAGTCCCATCAAGTGGGAAAGGTAACTCTTTTCTATTGATCTTGTGTTCAAGATCCGTGTTTGATTAGTTCCTCAGGTTGTCAGATGCTCACACCAGCTCAGAGCAGTGAGTTCTGATAGCTAAATTCTATACCAGTACGAGTCTCTGCTGCTCTCATTACAGAGGGAACTCAGCCATCAGGAGCAATGGTACTTTTCCACCTCTGAGTCAGCAGCATGAAAAGTCAGATGATGATAAAAGCAAATAAAATCCAGGAAGGTCCTATTTTATAATGAGCCTAGAGATACATGGATATAAACTGGCACTGGCTCATTCCTTTACAGTTATCCCTTTTAATACAGGTCCTTCTGATTCCCATGAGACAGTGGCACGTGGGAGCATGTTGTGCATGTAAGGTGGAGTGGCTCAGCTGCTAACAGATCCTAAAAAAATTTGTAGTGACAACTCATGGAATTTTTAGTGGCAAAAGGCAGTGCTGTTGAGTGACCTTTGCCTGCCTGTCTTCATTAACCATCTCTCTAACTACTGGCTGCTACTCACTGCTTCTCCCCTGCTCTTCTTTGTCCTTGCCCCCTCCTCACTGCTGCTTGCCCATTGCTCAGGCTGCCCCCCTGGCCTTTGCCTGTGTCACCACATAACTCTCCAGATTCTGCAATTTTCATCATGTTCTCTCTCTAACAAGAAAATGAGAAAAGAAAGCTCATTTTTTCCCTTTCCCCCTTGGTGTTGAAGCGATCACTGGTTCAGCTGGGCACGATACATGGGTGTGATGAGCTGATCATTTGGCACTGAGCTGTGCTAGAGAGTGGGAGACTGGCTGGGGTGTTGAGGACAGTGCAGTATCTTGGAGAGTGCTGATAGCAGACGTCGTACAGATGGTGGCAGGTATAAAGCCACTTCTTTATTTTCAACCAAAGCCATTGTTTCCAACCCTTGACTTAAGTAATACCATTCCCTTGTGGTTGTAACATCTCCATCCCACAAGTCCAGTCCAAAAGCAGGCAGCAGGAGATTCCAGCAAACCTGCCTGTGGCAGCTGTGACTCTTCAGAGTGAAAGCCCTGTTGGTGTAGGGGATAGATAGGTCTGAAGTGAGTGGTGAAAGATGCAGAGAAATTTTTGCAGTGATAGAAAAACCATTTTAAGTTATTAGACAAAGTAATGTGGCCAGAAACCTTCCTTTTCCAAGCCAGACAAGCTGTTTCTGCCAGGTATGGCTGCTTTTTAGGGGCTAAAACTCTGATTTCTGTGTCAGGCAACACAGAAGTGGTGTCAGGCTGAAATGGCTTGGAGATTTAGATTTATAGTTCAGGGAGAAGGACATCCCAGCTGGAGAGTGGTGATAGAGTCCAAATTGAGTGTGAAGTCCTCTTCCTGTATCTTTTGTAGTTTATTATGTTATTATAGTTCTCTTGTTTCTCTATACCTGTTTGTGCTGCAGGTATCACCACTGCATTAGCCAGTCATTGAATATTGTCTGAGGTGTCTCCAATCAGGCATAGACTGGAAATACTTTCTTTTCCCCAAATATTAACTCAAGTAGCAGAAAATGCCTCTCTGTGAAGATAATTCATATGGAAAACATGCATTTTCAGGCTGTCTGCACAGATTCCAGAATTTTAATGTTTCTATTTTTGCTACCTTTTAAGAACATCATTGCTACTTCTCCCTGGGCAGCACCTATGTATTGCCTACCCCTTCTCTTCCCTGGATTTCATCAATATTTTTGTCATTTTTTAACTGTTAAGCCAGACACATGACCAGTCTGGGACAAACAAGTGGTCTAGGGTCTACCAGCATTGTCTGCTTCACCAAGAGATGCTGCCTCTGGGACACTGGTGGTATTGAGAAGCAACAGCTAGAGCAGGGATCCTTGTGCTTGTTCATTCCATCCACAGGTTTGACTCGTGCTCTAATAGACAATCCCGAAGGAGAACGACATCAGGTTTGGAAGATTCATCTGTAATTGTGCTGGATCTCTGGCTGAGGGGCAGCTCAACAGCAAAAGGTTTTGCTGAAATCTTCCATGTAATCCAGGCAGGGGGTTTTGGGGTTTTTTTGATACTGCATGCTCTCATTTACAAACCCAGTCAGCAGCACGTGTTTGTTAGGCTATGCAGTGTTGGCATGTGAAGAATTCAGGAAAATCATTCAGGAAAATCAATCATCAGTTTTTCCTGTTTAGTTTCATTGCAGCTTCTTATGTGCTTGAAGTATTTACAAAATGCTTTCTTGGACTGGGGTTGTACTGGGAGATGAGAGTCCACTGAGGAGTTAAGATATCTGAAGCTTTCTTTTCTTTCTACAAAACTGTTGGAAAGGAAAGGGATTCAGTTCTGGCATGATGTTTCATAAGGTGACATTTGTTATAACTCATTGCAAATGTTACTCACCATCTACAAAGTGTTCAATTAAACTGAAGAGCAGTGAAAAATTCCACTTTAGTAGCTGCACTTATTACCAGAATCCCTCAGGTTTTTTGGAGCCAGCATATTCCCCCTGGAGACTTCTACGCAGTGACTACTGTCCCCTGTGACCAGTCCTGCTGATTGGTGTTCCCTGCTCCCATCAGCCAGATTGTCACACTTGGACAAAATTTCCCTTCCCCTTTGGGTTTATCCTTACTTTCCCAAAGATCTCTTTGGTCATTAGTTGTTAGCAGACCTGTGCTTCATCCTTTTGTGTCCTATTAATATCTCAGTGGGAATTAGCTGGACCCCTCATAAATAACATTTTCAAAAACAAAATTTGAAAGTGACCTGTGATCCTCGATCCTTTTGAAAATCAGAGTCGTTGGTTATTGAAACTTGAAGCTTCTGAGTCACTGCGATTGTTCCTTAGTTCTAAAAGCTTTAGTGGCATAATGTTTCCATAGAAAATAAGCCAATATATTTATAGTTTCTATGCAGCTTATAGTCCTTCTGCCTCAAATGCCTTTGTGTGTGTCTTGAGATTGAAACGTCGGATTCTGTGATTCTGTATGTGCAGAGACATGTGTGAGCAATATGGAGTAACTCTGGATATGTAACAAACAAACTTTTCTTGCACTTGTAGGAAACTGGGATACTGAGTGAGCACATTTTCTGAGATGCCAAACTGGCTGTTACAGATCTCTGGCTGCCCAGGAAGTTTGCAGATGCAGCTCTGCTGTGTGCTACAGCCACCCACTGTTTTGCAGTGTCAGCTGGGCTGGAGCTCAGATCCACCCACTCCCACCGTACCAGGCCCATTACCCTGGAGCTGAAGGCAAAATGCAAATGTATGTGCTCTGTGGAACACGGCTTCCCTACGGCAGGAGGCGATGGAAACGAGAACCCATGGCCTTGCGCTCCCAATTCCCCATCAGAACCACAGGCACCTCCCTTTTTCCCTGGATAGGGCACTAAAATGGAACAAAACTCTGGCTAATTTGCTGCAGGAAGCCATTGAGCTTTGTGCAAGGAGATAGAACAAGCAGTCCAATTAATTATAGCTGCTGGTGTCCCCTGGTCCTGACTTGGTGTCGTTTATCAATGCCCAACAGAGGTAGACAAGCCCAGTTCCTTTTTTCCTTACCTGTGAATACCTGTCGAGCCCATGTTTCCTGTTACTCCAGTCACCTGTTAGGCTCTTAAGGAACCATAATTCATTCAGTTTGCTGCGCTTGTTCCAGGGCACAATTTACTTCTTGTTTTCCTAGACCTAAAAACAACATCACAGCCTTTGGAGAGCAAGGGTGGGGGTTTTCTACATCAGCCTGTCTTTAGGTCCTATTTATAAATGAGGAGAGTGAGAAAATATGTTTAAAAACATTCAAGCTTTAAAAATAAAACTGCGACCTAGTCAAAGAGTAAACATTAAGGAAAAATAAAGACCTATTTTAAGAGATGGAAGCAGAGAAGAAGCAGCAAAAATATTCAAAATGAATCTATTACTGTAAATAGGAGGGCGTAAACCAGCAGCTTCTATCACTGACAGTTCAGAGATGCTGAGGACCTGCACCATCAGTGAAAAAGGAGGAATTGAAAAAAATATTGAGTGGGAAATAAAGCAAAGATGAGAAATCCACCTATTTGCACGTGTGATAGGTTATCCATAAACAAGCTCGTGCTTCTGACCAGATAAAAGAAATCAATGGCATAGTGTTTAAGTGAGATTAAAAAATACAGTGAGCGTCTGTCATTCTACATTCCTCTCCTGAGCAGTGGTGTCACCTTTATGCTTTCAGAAAGCCCTTTAATGTGGGGTTGCTCAGGGGGTGTTATGGTCACCATGTTGAGAATAAAACGTCATAAAAAGGGATCGGAAACTTTTACCGTGATGGACCTTTGGAAGTTTGTCCCCTCTGTGTCTGTTTTGTCACTTATATGTGGTTCTTCTCCCGCACAGGTTGCCCAGTCACTATGAACAATGGCCCAGCTATACTACAAAAAGGTAAATTACTCACCATACAGAGACCGGATCCCGCTGCAGATCGTGCGGGCAGAGGCAGAGCTGTCGGCGGAGGAGAAAGCCTACCTCAGTGCTGTGGAGAAGGGGGACTATGCCAGTGTGAAACATGCCCTGCAAGAGGCAGAGATCTACTACAACATCAACATCAACTGTATGGATCCTCTCGGTCGCAGTGCCCTTTTAATAGCCATAGAGAATGAAAACCTGGAGATCATGGAGCTGCTGCTGAGCCACAGCGTGTACGTGGGCGACGCGCTGCTCTACGCGATACGCAAAGAGGTGGTGGGAGCCGTGGAGCTGCTGCTGAACTACAGGAAGCCGAGCGGTGAAAAACAGGTTAGTTTAGTGCTCCTGTTCAGTTTTAAGCTATTATCCTGTGTTAGGAGAGTGGTACTGCACAGAGAGGTGCAGTGCAGCGCTCGTAAAGCACAGCCCTTGGTGCAGGTCCGTTGCTTTAAATGCCCAGAGCAGACGTGGGCAGTCCGGTTTGGATGCGTATTTTCCAGTCTGAACAAACATTTTCTGTGTGACTTAAACACTCAGCATTTTCTGTTTCACTCAGCGTTCTTTCCAGCCCTACAGTGTTTGTGGACATACTGATTTACAGGTTGATTTATAGATGAGTACTTTCTAAAGGAATTTGTGGCTTTCTGAAATTACATTACAATCCGTAAATGTGAACTATTGCCATGCTGTTGTACTGATATTAAGTGGAATTGCTTTTCCTAAGTAAATTCTGAAAGCACACGTGCTTATAAATAACTAAAAGCAAGCAAAAGTCTGCTAGGTTTCAGTCCTTTGCTGTAGTGCAGACATACCATCTTGGTCTCCCTCTCCAGGGAGCTCTAGGCAAGAAATTCTGAGGCAGAACATAGCATTACAGCAAGAGCTAAGCTGCTGTATATCTGAGCAATGAACAACTGTGACTTGTAGGAAGGATCCTTAGCTACAAAGCCATTCCTAAATTACATAAGGATCTTTGTGAAAATCCTGTCACTTCAAGTGTGACATATCACACTACCCCAACTGTGTTTTCTGGTTTTCTTCTTGTCATTTGTAAATATTCTTGCCAATAATTGGAATAAGTTAAGTACGTTACTGACCACTGACAATTTTTTGCATATTCACTGCTTTAGAAAGGAACATCCAAAACTTGGGTAATCCTTATATATCGAGTCTCCTTTTGTAGGCAACACATCCCCCTGTGTGTGAAGGAAGAAAATTATTAATACCAGTCAATCACAGAAAAAACCATTTTCAATGGATAGGCCCCTTAGTACATAGTTTTTCAATAGTCATTTTGTGTAGCCAGAGCAAACAATAAGGATCAACCCTGACAGCATTCAAGAGTGCTCAGCTTAACATTTAGAAAAGCAGCATTCTGCATGCTGTAGCAATGTGATTCTAATGTGTGACTTAAAAACTAATCTCTTCTATCAGACCTAGAAATTGAAATAATAGTACTGGGTTTTAGTCCGACAAAATATAAGTAGCAAAATATGGACCACACATGGAGAATGAGCCATTTTTAACTTAGTCTTCTAGCAATTCGAGCATCCTACACCTCAACAGAAAGCAGAAGTTTTTTTCAGTGGCAATGAGGAACTGCCAGTAATTATTGCAGGTTAACGACAAGTTTCTCCTGAAATATCATGGAAAGCAAGCGATAGGATTCCTGTGGATTTCTGTGACATCTCTTGCATAGCAGAACTTGTGTTCCCTCAAATTCATAGCCTTGCTGGGTTAACTGGGCAGAGATAAAGGTCCATGAAATAAGGTTGATTTATTGCGTCTGAAATTCAGCTCCAGTGTCTCTAGTTCAGTGATCCATCTCATGGTAGGTCTGTCTAATTTTTTGTTATCTCTGTGCCAGCGTGCAGCTCTCCTTCTGTAGCTAGGATTGTATCTGCTGCAGGGTTTACAACTTGGAGGAGAACACGTGTGGGGGAGAAAGAGATGCGGTGCCAGTTTCAGATTTATTTACAAGGTTCGTTACAGGACCAGATTTCATCGGTATATTTTAAACTAGTACTGGCTTGATGCAAGATTCTATGTACAAACTAGGATTAACTTCCCTGGCTGGGTTTCAGGCTCTTCTGTAGACTGCAGGAAGTGTTTGGTGGTAGGGGGCTGCAGGACTGGACTTCCATTTCAGCAGTTTCACTGATCGTCCATGCAATGATGGTAATTAACATTTATTTCATGTATAGTGATATAACATTAGAGAGAAGTGCTTAGTTAAGCGAAGTTGGGGAAAAGTTGGTTAGCTTGTCAAATCACAAAGCTAGTATAGGGACACAAGTTCCTGATGCTAGTTCCACAGCAGTATCAATATGCATTCATTAATTATCTTTGCTGGACCCTTTCTCATAAAGTCCTTTAGGAATCCCATGCCTAATTACTTTCACAAAAATCACCTGATAGAGTAGCACAGCTTTGTTCTCATCAGCTACTTACATGTTCTAAAACTTACAGAAAACATGGGGATTTTGTTGAGTAGTAACAAAAATTCACACTTCGTGGAAGGGTTTCTGTCTGGCTGAGAAATTTGTAAGATGGTGTCACAGCACTTCTTATATATCAGGTTTAGTATAATCTATTCACTAAATGTACACAGGGTTCAGTTTCACCAAACAAACCTGAGTGAAAGCAGCTTCTCAGACCACATGTGACAGCTTGTTTCCCATCGGGGGCTGGTTGTCTTTGCTGTACTCCAGGCAAAGGTGCAGAAGCAGCATCTTCTAATTACTCTGTCTTAAATGTTCATTCATCTGAGTGTGGTGTCTGCAAAAACCTGTTCATTCCATTCTCCTGCTGTCTGCTTCTGAGCTGTTATTATTTGCCTCTCTCCCAAAGTCTGGTTTCTCTGACTGCCAGGCACGAAGAGCTATTTGAGTCTGTTCACATCAGCTCAGGTGATTGTTGTCTTTGCATCTCGAAAGCAGCTGAGTAGCATCATTCAGCATAATCCATTTGATGGGCATGTGTCTTCTCTCACTCCCACAGCCTTATCCTCCTACCACAGTCCTGATGGGAAGGTGTTACAGGTTGTGTTATTCCAGCCTCTTGTGGGGTCACCGTGACTGTATCTAGTTTGCAAAAGATATGCCCAAAATGAGGTCGAAAACCATGGCCCTTTGACCTGCAAAGCTGCAGGTTCTCTCACCAGCCACAGAGTCTCTGCAAGCTGATATGTCCTGGATGCTCCATACCTGTCTCTTGAGAACTGCCTGAGGGGAAGAGTTCTGCTTTTCCCCATGTGATGACCTTTTCAGGGAGCAGAAGTAAAAAACCTTTCAAATATAAGAAGTGACCTTTGTTGTGCTCCTTATGTAAGAGAATCAGGGTCTCATTGATGATGTGAGGGACAGGGAGAAAGGGATGAAGAGGTTGGATGGCAGAGGTGCCTGGATCCTGTTATTCAGAGAATTTTTATGAATCATTATTCTGCAAACCTTTGCTAGACTGCTGTTTAAGCACCATTTACTGAAAATGCCATGAGAATGGCAGGGGTAAGTCATAGCCAGTAACTATAACAACACAGCTCCCTCACTGCAGTGTGAGGGGTGTCTCAGGAGAGGAGGAGATTACTCTGTTTACATGTGGAGCGTGTGAGAGCCGGGAGCATGAACCTCCTCCCTCCAAAGGCTGCTGCAGAGCACATGATAGATCAGTGTGCTCAGCAGTGACGTGGTAGAGTAGATGTATTTCCTTTCAGGTTTATCTCCAAGCAAGACTCATAGGCTATTTTAAGAACTTAAAATTTCTTCTCAAATCCATTCTGTCCGCTCTGGACAACTTATGGCCATGGTTTTGTGTACTGCACTGAGCCTCCTGATAAAGATGAGGAGAAGACTTTACCAGTTACAACCAGAATAATGGCTAATACATTTACTGCTGAAAGACACTGTTGGCTATGGGTGATTTTGGGGTCAATGAGAGAGTCGTCATGGTGCAAACAACTTAGTTTTGCTACCATGGGAAGCAAATGTGCTGATGTGCTTCACTCCCAGCAAAGAGTAAAGCCCAGGCTTTAAATGACCCCTCCTTTTCTTCAAATTGGAACTATTGGGACTCTTCAAACATACCACACCACACTCTGGGGTGGACTCTCACGTTTTCCTTTGTGTCCATGTGCAGGTGTGGTCCTGAGTGGGTGGAAGGTGCCTGTGAGCAGAAGTTGGGGTGCTGAGGCTGCCACAGCCCTGCCCATCCACCACAGCACAGATGGGAGCTTTTGTGGCCTTGGCAGGATGTGGTCTGGACATGGCATAATGCTAAGACAAGTTCTCAGGGAAATAAAGGAAATTCAATTATCTCCTCAAAATAGATTTAGTAACAAAAGAGCTTTTCTAGTTCTGTGATTTTTACAAGTTCACTTGTTATTTCCAAATGTTACATAATTTACTCCAATTAATCCTCCAAGCTTTTTTTTTTTAAACCATAGTTCATTTCGACCAGTCACTTTGTGTTGCTAATTGGTCACTTAAGTCATAGGGTAGTTTGTTTTTCCCCAAATAGAGGATAGACATTGGGAAATCAAGCAACATATTCATCAATATTAAGAGGAACAACAGAATAAACTAATTTTCATGGAACCTAGAGGGTATGCAAGTGTTGCTCTTCCTGCAGGGATCTGTAGTATTTCCTAGGAAATAAAAGTGAGCCTAATCTGGTGCAATAGTTATTGTTTGATTTTCTGGACAGTTAAGAGGCTGAGGTTGTACTGCATAGCAGCAGAGGAGTAATATATGTGTGCTTGGCATGGCAATCCACACTCAGTGGTGAGTGGCATGTTATTTTTAAATAAGACAACAAATCACTGAATAACCACCAGAAAGAGTGGTAGATAGAAATAGCAAAATTCAGCATGTGCAGATGCAGTACTGACTTTGGCCCAGGCTTAGTGAGTCAGGTGGCTCGTGTGTTTGGGGGTTGGAAGTTAAAATACAAGTAGCCTCTGCATGGGACAGGTCCAATACATACAGTGGCAAAACAAGACCTTAATGCAATTCTGTAGGTACATGTGGAAAACAGATATCTGGCTGGGGTCCTATGGGGTTGGAATTAACAGGGAACTTAAAATTACTTCCTTTTTTTTTTTTTTATTCAGTACTACCATGGGAGCAAGGGAATGTATATATGAAGCCTGTTGAATGAATTTGCCTTTCCAGTAAAATCTTGTGTCTCTCAAACTATTTGACCTTTGAGTTTTGTTGCATTTTTTTATTCTAAAAGTCCTCTTAGATATTCTTTTTACTACACAAACATCAATACAGTGGGTTATGTTTTCAACCAGGCTGGATTCTGCACCTAAGCTGCACTTAAACGGCGTC